CCAGGGGACCGCCTAGGGCCCCCGGTGGGGGTCCAGGGGGCGAAGCCCCATGGAAGCCACTGATATTTGACGATATCTGGATAACGTTCAGTTATCATTAATTTTCGGTCTATTCAATACAGTTGTAGTATGTAGAAGCCGACGTTTATACATCCTTCACCAGCTTAAATTGAGCCAGGCTAGATACGCAACGGAGCAGGAGATTTTTGTGGCCTCCTCTTCTCTACACTCTTTATACATCGATCCAAGGTTTTTTAATTTGTTACAAACGTGCTGAGCCGTCGTGTCATATCCCAGACCGTTTAAACGTTTAGCTATAAGCTCAAAAACTCGATTTTTTTTCTCCTTTTTTTGTCTTCGGCAAGATCTAAAAATTCTGGTTCAGACCAAATGTCAATTAGGTCGGACAACTCAGAGTCCGACCAAATATGTCGATTATTGGCCATTATAACAGATAATTGTTAAAATATCACCGTATATCAGTGAAAAACAAAAGGCCTGTGCGGGAAAACTAAAACAGAGCAGACGGCATGTGATGATCGAAAAAAGTAAACAAACGTGTGCGAAAGAATTATGGGAAAATATAACCCCTGACGTCATTGGAATTGCGCACGTCTGATTGGTTAATGATGGAAATGAGGTCAACTTGCTAACCGTTAGCAATTGCAATTGCTAACGGTTAGCGCTAACCGTTAGCGCTAACGGTTAGCGCTAACCGATCGGGCGTTCTCACGCAGGTGCTAACGGTTAGCGCTAACGGTTAGCTCCCGATCCGGATACAGGGCTCTCGTGAGAACCAGGCCTATAAGCTTTATAAATAATTGAGGAGGTGAGGCAGTTTCCCGAGAGTGGGCAATCTTCTTTAATCCGACAGTTGCATAGTTTGGTCGGTACTTTGATGGTGCTGCCCATGTTTCTTGTGCAATTGTAGCTAATTTTTACGTTGTTCTTTTTGAACAATTTGTGCAAGGTGCTGTCTTTGTGGAAGTGCTTTTTGCGAGGTTAAGGAAAGTTCTGCCGATGTTTGTTTTGACGTTTTTGCTGAAAGGTGGGTTGTACCATATGATGTTCCTTTTTCTTCTTCTTTTGTTTGTAGGTGGTTTTTCGTATTTCATCTTGTGTTGAAATCCGCTGTCCCAATTAGTGCTTTTTGGTAGTCGGGGGTGGCCTTTTGAAAAGTTGCTTCTGAATCGGAGTTGCTTGATATTCTTTTATTGATTGAAGAGGGGGATTTGCTTTCAGATGGATGAAGGGTGGTTTGATCGTTTATCCACGTATAGTAATTTGTTGTCTGGTTTGGTGAACGGAACATAGGATCCGTTAGATTGAATGTGAGGAAGTTTGTGATCTTTTTTGCTTGTATAGTAATGCGGAGGTCGAAGGAGTGAAAGATGGATGTGATTTCTTTCTTCATCTTGTCACATAGTCTTGGAGATGTGCTGCTCATGATGGCGAGGCCATCGTCTCGGTAGAGCCCGATGTTTGTTTTTCCGAGCTTTTTGGCGAAGTGGGAAAGGATGTAAGTTCCAACGAGTTCACATATCTCTGCTCCGTCAAAACTCCCCATGGTGACGTCGAACATATCTTCTGAATTTTTCTTGAGCCATGTTGAGTTGTTGGAGAACAGTATTGATTTTCGTGACTGCATGATGATATCTACTTCTTCCTCTGTTATAGTTGTGTATTTTTGGGCGTGTTCAATTGCATCTAGTAGTAGCTTTTTCGATATTGATGGGTAGAATTCGACGCTGTCGAATGTGATGAATGTGCTGTTTGATTTCTTTTCGATGTGTTTGAACCACTCGATGACTGCTGAGTTGTTCTTCCACAGTTGTAATTGTGATTTTTCAAGCATGGTGCTGTTTATGCGGTCGAAGATGTTTTTGCTAATTAGCCCAATTTCTGGTTTAGATGGGTTAATCAACCTGCAGCTTGGTTATATTAATATAGGCCTATATATATATATATTTATGTATATATATATATATATGTATGTATATATATATATATATATATATATATGTATATATATATATATATCAATGTATATTTATTTATGGGACGTGTACATTGGTAGACTTAAGATATATTCATTTGCATGCAGTATATGTCTTTTGGTTTCCTTTTGCTTTTTTGTTAAAACTCAGTTTCCTTTGGAGTTTGGTGATTTTCTTAAGAATAATAAATATTTAATAATACTTCAATAATAAGTATTTAGTTGAGTATTGCTTGTTAATATTAAGATTCTACTCTCTTTTTACTTTTGTGCATTTTGTAAGACCGCACCATAACTATGTGTGCTACCGATACAAAGGTGAAGTGTCCCAAATAAATTATTAAATAAATAAAGAAGGCACTCGTGGCATAATATAATGCCTCAAGGACTTTTAACTTACCAGGATAGGAAGCTGGCTGGTTTACTCATCTTAAACTAATTCCTCCATGGCATCTAACTTGAATGAGCCTTTGTGTGGTATTGTTATGCTAATGAGCCTGAGCCAGATAAGCACAATCTGCACATGCTCAGATGTGTCTAATGCGTTGTTGAAATCATTTTGCGCATGCTGTTGAGAGGTTGTGACTCTTAAAGCCTAGGCCTAGTTTTTAATTTTTAATTATAAAATAAAAAATATTGGCGTTTGAGAAAAACATTTTAATTTTATATAGGTAAGTAAGTATATTAATAATTTTAATGCACTACAGTAGTTAGTTGATAACTTCATTCTAATATTTTGTTTTAGGTCTTTTTTCTGCATTTTTATAAGCGGTTGGCATAATGTGTTATGTGTTGGCATGTCATGTTATTGTAACTATCTACAGTACAAAACAAAATTACATCAATTTAAAATCAAATTTGTGAACATTTTTGCCTTTTATCTTAAATAGCAGGTAATTTTATTGGTAGATTATTTTGTTTGTAAGTGCGTAAGTATGATTGATTTGCATGCCAATAAAATTAGTACCCCTATTTTGCATTGTTTTACCATAGGGGCCTACCATAATTCCCGGCTAGGCTAGGCATACGCCTAGCACGGTGTACTTGGCCAAGAATGTTGTTCTCTCCCCTTGGCTTAAGCACTTGCCAGCGTTGCCAGCTGACATCAGCGATGCAGGCCTCTGCCGGGGTTAGCCTGCTACAATATCTCCTTAAATACTCTCTATGTACGTAGTAAGGTGGGCCCTAGGCTACTACTACTGGTATTACTACATTACTTTATTAAACTAGGCTATATACCCAGGTCTAAATTCCAGTTGGGACCAGTTGGAAATGCCAACTGGTCCAACTGGTCTAACTGGTTTCCAAATGGTCCAACTGCAATTTCAACTGGTACAACTGGAATTTCAACTGGTACAGCTGGTCTTCATAACTGGGTTTATAACTGGTCCAATGGTCTATCCAACTGGTTGAACTGGTCCAACTGGTTTTACCAACTGGTTGAACTGGTCCAACTGGTCTACCCAATAGGTCCAGTTGGTTCAATTAGTCTACCCAATAGGTCCAACTGGTTTTACCCAGTTTGGTTACAACTGATCATACAAGTTTAAACTACTAATTAGTCTACTTAATTCATTTATTTAATATTTAACTTGTTTAGAATCTGCCTAGGCCTAGTAGTAGAAAATTGTTTTATCTTAGACGAAAGCGGCTTTTCCCTTATGAAAATGACCAATTCATTTCAATTGGAAATTGAACTGGATTCAATATGAGTCAATTGGATTGTAATTGGAATTTAAATTAGATCCAGTTGGTTCCAATTGAAAAAAATCCTATTGAGATCAATTGGATAACAAATGTCCATAGGATTTTTTTTCTTATAAATCCATTGGGAATCAATCGGATGACAATTGACCAATTAGAAATTGGAAAAATCCAATTGGACAATTAATTTCCAATTGGAATTTTTTTTTTAATCCAATTTGATAACAAATACCAATTGAACTACAAAAACAAATCCAATTGGAACAACAGATTTTCAATTGGATTATAAATATCCAATTGGATTTTTTACTTATTCCAATTGGATAACAGATATCAAATTGGATTGCCTTTAAATTCCAATTGGATAAGAAATATACAATTGGATTGTCTTGAAATTCCAACTGGATAGCAAATATCCAATTGGGTTGTTTTTCATTCAGTTGGAAGAAAAATATATCTGATTGGAATGTTTTTAAATTCCAATTGGATAACAATTATATTGAATAACAAATATCCAATTGGATTTTGTTAATTCCAATTGGGATTTATTTGACCAATCAGAATGCAGTATTCACAGGTTTCTTGACGACTGCTTCTTAATGAAAGTTATAAAGTTACAATGCGCCATTTTTGCACAATGGGTGAGAGCATATTGCAGGCTGTCCAGCTCTTGAGTTGTTTTTGTTCATAAAAAGTAAGTATTCTATCAACTTTGTGTTCAAATTCCTAAACAATAATAAGCCTAGGTCCTTTATTAGACTTTTTTGAAATGAATGTTGGCTTAGATTAATTAGAAACTGAAATTAAAAATCGAACGTTGCCAGCCAAATGCCAGTCGCCTGAGGGGCCTAGAATAGTGCAGCGTATAGCCTTCTTATAGGCATGAAGGGCTTCTTGCTATGGATGGGTAGGTGGGGCTACCTAGGCCTTGCCTACTACAAGTGCTATATCGTAGGCATGTGCAAGCCTAGCCTAGGCTAGGCTTGCACAACCTAACAAAAGGGTAATGATTAGGCCTAAGCCAGGCCAGGCGTAGGCCTCTAGGCGGCTAGTTCAGATTATTTCATATTTGTTTTAATTTTTTTTAATTTATATACATTTTTTTATTTAGGCCTAGGCCTAAGTTTTTTTGAATTAGCTATATATAAAAGCCTAACCTAGCTAGGCCAGGAGGGGGGCTATCTTTTTTTAGTACTACTAGTACTAAGGGATAGGCTAGTAGAGTAGCACTGAGCAGTAGTAGTAGTCCAGGCCCGGCCTAGAGGCTTATTTTAAGCCTATTCTATGATAGAGCCCAAGCCTAGCATAGGGTGAGCTATTTACAGGCCTAAGCATAGCCTAGCTAGGGCTAGTTTTAGTCTAGTCCTAGCCCTAGATAAAGGCATGAGACCTAGTACTGTTTAATTTAATTAATTAATGATTACTATATCATCAGTCTATAGCACTAATCTCTAGGTCTATATTGTTTTTGATTGTTTTTTAACAGGATTAACTGAATTTGAAGCAAGGCTCTGCGAGTATCTGATGTCAGGTATTTTCTAAATTCAAACTGAACGTTAAATTTACACTTCAACTTTCCAACAAGTTTCAAGGCTATAGAAATTGCAATTTGTATTTTTGATATCGACCACTCCAAAAATGAATTGTTCGCCAAAAATATGTGCACTTCAAGCCGTCGACCAGGAAAAGAATATTAAAAAAGGGTGAGTTGGA